ACGTCTCTCTCGCATGCCCGCTCGACCACGCCTCTCTCCCGCACGCCTCTCTCTCGCCTAACCAACCTCTCGACCACGCCCCGCCGCCGCTCCAACCTCTCGGCCCCGCCGCCGCCCCTTCTCGGCCTCGCCGCCGCCCCTTCACGCCGGCGGCCACGGCCCCGATGGGCGCAGCAGCACGCCCCCGACGGTCGAGCGGCACCTCCGCCGCAGGGGGGCCGGGCCGCAGCAGCACGCCCATTCCGCTCCAACCTCTCGGCCCTGCCGCCGCTCACCCCGCCGCCGCCCCTTCTCGGCCTCGCCGCCGCCCCTTCACGCCGGCTCACAGCCTGAACGGAGCCCCAGTTGGCTCTCCCTTGCTCTCCACCGGTGGCGCCGGTGCCGTGTGCGCAACGGATGAGGCCCCGCACTCGCGCCGCGGCAGTGCGGATGGAGCTCCGCCGAGTCCATGAGCTCCCGAGCCGGGCGACGGCGCGTATTGATCTGAAAAAGGCCACCAACCCATATTATAATATCCTTTGCTATCAAGTTCTAGCTGTGGAATGTGGAATGTGGAATTTATTTTGCAGAGCCGGACACTATCTTGGTGTTCATGATCTTCTCTGGATTATTCAAGGGAGGAACCCGCCTTGCAATGCCGAACATTATGCACGCCGGACTTATCGTCATTGAAGACTGGTTCAGGGGCTACTGAGGGAGTCCTGGACTAGGGGGTGTTCGGAGAGCCGGACTATCAATGTCCGCCGAACTCCAAGACTACGAAGATACAAGATTGAAGACTCCGGCTCGTGTCCGGATGGTACTTTACTTGGCGTGGAAGGCAAGCTTGGCAATATGGATACGTAGATCTCCTACCATTGTAACCGACTCTGTGTAACCCTAACCCTCTCCGGTGTCTATATAAACCGGAGGGCTTTAGTCCGTAGGACAACATACATTACAACAATCATACCATAGGCTAGCTTCTAGGGTTTAGCCTCCTTGATCTCGTGGTAGATCTACTTTTGTACTACCCATATCATCAATATTAATCAAGCAGGACGTAGGGTTTTACCTCCATCGAGAGGGCCCGAACCTGGGTAAAAACATCGTGTCCCTCGTCTCCTGTTACCATCCGCCTAGACGCACAGTTCGGGACCCCCTACTCGAGATCCGCCGGTTTTGACACCGACAGTCATCGCGTCAAATACACGTGCACACATTTCCTATTGTCTGATTCAGCCAGTTTTTTATTCTTTTATTCTTTTATTTTTTTTGTTTCTTTTGGTATTCAGTTACATCCGGTTTTTTGATAGTTTTACTTTTTCCTTCCATTTTATTTTATTTAATTTTCTAAAAATTAGAAAAAAAATTACCTTAGATGTATCCAAAATTACGTTAAAAATTAACATATGAATATATTTTCATTTTGTATACATAATATAATTCAAATACCCAATGAATGTTTTACTTTACATACATGGATGTTTTAGTAAGAATAAATAGAAATTTTAACACATGAATATATCCTTTTTGATACATTAATATTTTCTTAATACTGGCCGAACATTTTGTTTCAAATATATAATTGTATGTGTATACTAGTATTTTTTTAATACACAATGGAATGCACATGAACATTTTATCAACGTACATGAACATTCTTTTCTTTTACATGTTTTCTTATTTTGTAAATATTTTTTACAACATCAATTAAGACTGTTATGGTTTTTCTATTTTTTCCGCAAATATATGATCCATTTCAATTTATTTAAACCGCCTTTTCACAACATTTTATTAAATTTATCAAATAGAAAAAAAAAGCTCAACATAAGTGAGCCAGCCTGGGGGCGTGTGGGGATGCTGAGTTTGCCCACCAATTTGAAGCTCTAAGAGCATTACTAGTAGAGCCCTCAAACCCTCAAACCTCTAAAAATAACTGCTTTTTTACAGTTTTCATCGAAAAAAAGCCGTAGACTAGAACCCCTTAACCCTCAAACCCTCAAAAAATTTTAAAGGTCCAACCCTCAAACCCTCTCCCAACCTTCAAAAGTAAGGGCTGGGAAGCAAAACCTACCCCAACCTTTATTTGGCGGTTATCCTCGCGCGGGAGGGAAAAATCCTCCCAATTCCCGCGCCCACGCCCGCGACCGCCGCTGCTAGTCGCCCCCGTCGCCGGCGGCCGCCCCGTCGACCTCCCGCGCGCCCGCGCCCGCCCCGCCCCTAGCCGCCGGCCTCTCCTCCAC